TTTAAATGTTTTTATTTTCATTTATTTTTTGTCATAGTTTTCTTCCTTATAGGTTCAGTCTTACCTGCTTTTGCCAAACATAGAAGTGGATGCAGATCCACTGGAGTGGTGGAAGGCCAATCAGAGTGTATTCCCTAATCTATCTTTGGTGGCTAAACATTATTTAGGCATTGCTGGCACTGAAGCTCCTTCTGAGAGGGTGGCGTCAACTAGATCTGTGATAGCGACTCCCAAGAGAACCAATATTTTATATGAACATCTAAAGGAGCTAGCTTTTTTACATGATAATTTAAAGGTACCTGAAATGAAGTAATTTGATTGTGATTGAATTCATTTAATTTAATAATGTGACACATCTAGTCTGTCTAGTCTGGATAATATAGATTTCAAAGTTTAACAACTTTATACTTACCGTAACTATATGTGATGTGGTGTGATACATGTATCATCCATCAGCAGCAGACTAGTCTTTTGTATTACTTTCAATACTTGTTTGTGTTATGTTCATTCATTGTTAACTTACAGTGATACTTGTTTTGTTTTCTTTAAGGCAAATGACTGTCCATTATCGTTAGTTTGATAATTGGTAATTTTTACTATACTTGTTACTTTTAAGAATTTGATTGAACTGATAATGATTAAAAGAATTTTTGATAAGAGTATTCCAAACTGTATTTTCTCTCCCCTCAGCATCAGATTTTATGATTTAAAAAATCAATTCAAAATCATAACCTAAACTGTTCAGCTTAGACTCCAATAAAGATTGCTTCAACAAAATTCAAAATTAAAATAACCCACAGATTCTTGGAGTCAGGACATAGCTATTCTGAGGCAGATAGCATGCATGCTAGGATAGAAAATGAAGCCCAAAGAAAGGAGATATTTACTCCAGCTGAGTGGATAAAACTTATCAAAGAAGCAGAACAAGACGGCAAGATGTATATAATTAATTTGCTTCAAAATAGAAATGTTTCAGATCTTCATTTCTTAGTGGACCGACAAAACTGGGATCATAATACCCTTAAAGAGCAAGTCTATTGGAGCAAAGTTAGAGAAATTGTTGTAGATTATAAGTCACCTAATACTGTTTTCTACAGATATGGCTTCAGTGAGCCATTAAAAACTGTTTTAATCACGTTGAAAAATGGTAATGCTATTGACCACAGTACATTTGTACCGCCTTGTGCTTACCAGTCAAAATTTTCTCTGTCAGCAAAGAAAAAGAAAGATATCGAGTTCTTGATGGAAAAGTTGGCAATTCCTAGTGCATATCATTTGACATTTAACCAGTACCTTGCAATATAATGTCTTTTTCATTGTCATTTGGGGCAAAGAAATTGCCTTGACCATTTTTTTTTTCAAGATTGACATTTTATCAGTATTCTAAATGAAGATTAAGCTTGTTCAAGCCATGATTACGTAAACTTATCTTATATTTTGTAGAAGCTGCTTCTTTCGTTTTAATGTCAAGAGTAAAATGTTTTGTAAGCATGCTTATAGAACCGTTTTATACCGAAACGAGTCCGAAGATCGGGCAGTCCGAATGTCGCCCGCGGTACAGTCCGAAACCACATCCTGGACTTGCCGAAATTAGTACCGAAAAGGAGTAAAATCAGCAAGATTCCGGTGCAGTCCGAAGCGCGCTGCCCGGGCGCCTTTCGGACTAGTCCATGCTCCGGACTGCCCGAAATATGTCCGGCAGAGTAGCACAAAATAAAAAAAACAAAACGAGCGGGATTCGATCCCCTACCTGCCGGTCTTCTGCTCCTTATACCAACGCTCTTTCCAACTGAGCTAAGCTGACGGCTGAGAGAGGATGCCTCAGGAAGGCCTCTTCAGCCAGGTGGCCAGGCGCAACAGTCACTTCGAGGGCGAGCACTGTACAGAACGAACGAATCAGCGCATCGTTATGCGGCTAACGCTTTTGAATCACACACACGCTCTGTACAGAGCATGGCGGACGAAATTTTGCAAATTAAAATGCGCCTGTGTTTCATTATTTAAAATATCGGAATTAAGTTAATAT